CAGTTTTTACCATAAATAATATGTTGTCTGGTGAGTCCAAACATTTCTATTTTCATTATTGATACTTGCATGAATCTTTTTTTTAGGTAAATGTTTGTTTTAAGATTTCCATGCTTGTATAGCAGTTGAAAACCTACTAAATTTTACACTTTCATAACTTAGAAAAATACTATATCTTTATTCTGGAATAGTCACATAAAGTTTTCAAAATTTTCATGCAGGTGCATTTAGTTAATATTTTTATGAATAAGATGTGTAACTTGCATTAATTCTTGACTCTGGGTAGGGTTACATGCTACAGTATACTTGATTGGCCATACTTCTTTTTTATTGCTTTCCTGGGTTAGAGGTTATAGAGGGCTGGTATAGAGGTTTGTACAAATTAGTACATGTATGGAGTTAATATTCTATCCTCATCTTCCCTTCAAATTTGTATAATGTAATTGCATTAGTTGTATAGAACTGTGGAATACTGTACTAAGACTTTTGTCTGACATAACAATGTGGTATTAATTCTTTTGTACTTCTTGAAGTATAGTATTTGATTCTTCGCAGCTCATACAATCTGTCTACATTAAATCACAGGTGACTGGTTTTGAAAATCCCAATGTTTTTCATTTTACTTTATTTTACATTTATAGTTGAATCTCTTCCCCTTTTACTTGGGTTGTTTGTTGTGGATCTTGATATATACCTGATGAACATTAGTGAGTCTGAATACAAAACTATTATATAAAGATTACTCTAAGTGTGTAACAAAACTTTTGTTTACAACTAAATGAGGATGTATTTTATAGGCCAGGTGATTAGGGTGCTCAACTCGCAATTTGTGGGTTCGAATCCCCCTCACACAAAACATGCTCGCCCTTTCTGCTGTGGGGGCATTATAATGTGACGGTCAATCCCATTTATTCATTGATAAATGAGTAGCCCAAGAGTTGGCAGTGGGTGGTGATGACTAGCTGCCTTCCCTCTAGTCTTATATTGCTAAATTAGGGATGGCTAGCGCAGATAGCCCTCATGCAGCTTAACGGGAAATCCATAACAAACAAACCATAACAAAAAATGTATTTTATAACATTCTATTAAGAAACATAACTATACTTTGAAGAAAAGAAGAAATATTTTGGAATAAGGTTCTTTTAGGGGAACTGGAAATTTTCTATCCAAATATTATGCGTATATCATTTAAAAGTCCAGATTACAGGTATTCCAGTATCAAATATACAATAAAATTTTGGTTACTAATTCCTATTTAAGAAACAGAACAAAACAAAACCATGAAGACAGTTGATGTGACTATTGTAAAAGTGATTAAGAGACAATTTATCATTTGTATCGAATGTACTATTATAAATAGTGGAATGGAAAACAGGGATTAAAGATAAATTAGGTTTAAAATAGTCACTAAAGCACAGGATAACCTGCTTGAAATGTTGTGTAGAAAAAAAAACATACTTTCTTTGTAAATCATTTGCTATACTCAACAACAATTTGAAATATAGTTTGAAAATTTTTGTTTTTGTTGTTTATCAAATGTGGTGAAAGTTTTAAAATATAAAATAGTTTGTTTATTTTTTGATATGAAACCATAGAAATGGAAAGCACAATGGTTGGTTTAATCTTAAAACTGTAGCATACAATCACTCAAAAAGTATACAAGCATATTTATCCTTCTTTTTTATTGTTTTGTGAAATGGAAAAAAAATGTTATGTTAACTTGTATATCTTTGCAAATTTACATAAAAAGCTTGAAATATAGTTAGCAGGGGAAAATATTATACTGTTCATTATTTAAATATGAATTCATATAATTTAAACTGAAAGACAAAGATTTGGAAATAGCCTAATATCAGTTGTGGGTTTTTCATATATGGTCTGTTATTTAAAGAAGTTTGATAAATAGAACAACTTGTGAAATATTATTACCAGATTTTATTCAATACACTAAACATGTTTTCTGTTTTCACAATTTGATAATTTTTGCAAATTTAGGCAGAACCATCTCTGATGGAGTTTGGAGATGTCTTAATTGACAGGAAAGTTGAATTTATGATGGTTGTACACAACCCTGGAGATTGTGCAGTTTCATTTCTGTTAAGCAACAAGGAATATACAGGAGACTGTGGTATGTTAGTATTTATTATATTTTTTGAAGAGTTTGTAATTCTTGGTGTCAAAAATAAGTAAAATCAAGGTGAGAGTGTGGCTTGGTGGTTAGCATGTTGGGCTTAGGATCGAAGGCTCAAGATTCAGTGTGCCACTGAAAACTTTTAGCTGTTGAGGTGTAATAACTGTGACAGCCAATCTTGCTGTTTGGTTAATAGTAGTTGCACAGATGGTAACTAATGCTGAATTAGAGATGACTGTGCCTGAACCCAAAGAGCCTGTGAGTTGCCATTTAGTCCTGGTGTTCAGGTTGTAAATACCAAATACAAGTGAGATAAACAAGTAATTCTTATTTGTTTAATGTTATAAAAGTACAACTAAAATAAACCTCGATGAGAGAGATTAAAAAAAAAAGATTAAAAGCTTCTTATGACTATGAAAATTAGCTATATTCTTGTCAAAGAAAGTGTCTCTTTCAATGTAATTTTTATTCTTAGGGTATGATACCAAGTTTTTCTAGAGTAGTCGAGGTGTAAGTAACATAGAAATTACTGTCTTGTTTACAGATGTTCTGCTACCTAAAGAAAAATTTTTTCTGCCTGCGCACTGTCACCTACAAATAATGATAATTATTTGTCCTAAAACAGTGGGCACCAGATGTTTAGAAATACTTGGACGCTTTTTGACAGAATCAGGTGAAGTAATGTTTCTGTGAACATGGGTATTAAAATTTACTTGTGAAATTATTAACACATAGATGAACACTTAATTTAAAATATATATATTTTAATCATTTTATGCAATGGTACTTGTTACTGTAATTAAATTTCTTTATTCGTTGTTTTTTCTTTAGAGGGGTCTGCAGTAACTAAGATCTTTGTATGGCACTTTTAGATGTCTTTTTCACACCATTGTTAACCTATATTTATATGTGCTTTCCAAGATGTGTAGCAATAGTGTTATTAATTTATTATTCTGTATTGTTCAACAAAGGATCTGTGTAAGATATTAAAATTAAAGATAAATCCAGCCTACCATTCAATCCACCACTTGTCATTGAGTTATAACAATTTCGGAGAACTCAACCTCTCATCAATAAAGGACAATTAAATACTCACCATTGGATACTATATACTAGTTAAGTATATTTCTTTTTGTGTCATGAAAACTATGTGTCAAAATTGAAATTCATTTTCTTATTCCAATCATTAGTATACTGCATGTTAGAAAAGACTGACAAGTTTTCTAGCCCACTACATATTTGTCATTTCAATATCATAGCAGAAATTGGTTTTACGAAAACATAATACAGAGCAGTTATTATTTTAAAAGGTACGCAGTAAAAACTTGTTATAGTAACATAGTAGAGAACATACTGTTAAAGAATGAACAGTGTTACTGGAAGTAGTAATAAACATTGTGTTCTTGTTTGAATTAGGTGATCCTCTTCAAATAGAGACTGTTCTGTGCCAAGTGTACTATTTATCAGTGATGCCATACCTACAGATATGTGATGTACATTGCCATGGAAGCAAGTTAATCCTGACCAAGGCTTGCATAAGAAAGTATATGCAAGTGGATAGGTAAAAGACATGTATACTTCAGGCATTTACCTATAGAAAAATGTATTTGGAATATTTGCTTTGGTATTGTGAGCAACATACTAACTGTAAAATCAAGATCACCTAGATAAGTGGGCTTAAAAATTATATAGATGATTTTTTTCAGAAATTAAAATAATTCTTACACCAAAACTAAAAACTAATTTGTAGATGAACACTTAATGATAAAAATAGAATAAAAATAAAAATTCACTCATTTGAAATTAGAATAAATGTGTATTTACAGTTAACAAAGAGTTACTTTAATATTTATTCTTTGATGAAAATTTGATGTAATAAAAATATAACTACAGGCAGTTCTTCCATGCTTAAAAAGTGTAATAGGTTAGTGTATATAGATGTGGGAAATAACCTTAACAAAAAGGAAACATTTAGCATTAGCCTTATGAAACTACTGTAGGTGTGATCACTTGAGTTAAGAAGTGTCTTACAAGCAATGGATAGTAGGTTAACCCTTTAGCTCAGTTGGTACAGAGTCTGTTTAATGTTCAAAATTGTTAGTTTAGCCATAACAAGCAATATCTAAAGTGAGTTTCACAGTGGTATTGTAACAACAGAGATAAAGAATAATAATTTGTCTTGTCAAAGGGTGTTCTAAAGTAATTGAACCTGCTTGTGTGGACTTTGACAAAAAGGAGACAATTATTCAAAGCTCTGGATGCAACTGTGATAGCCAATAGTGTAATGAGTTCTTGTACATACATTTGACTTGTTTTGAATATCTTATTTTAAGACAAGTGGATTGTGTGCTGTCCATTTATTGCTCATATTTATCCCCAACAAGTCACAGACACCTACTGTAAAAATTCAGCAATTCTATATAAACTGGACATATTAATAATATGATGACATTCAGGCATATTGGTCAAGATCATATATCAGATTGTTTAAACCTAACATTATTTAATTCAAAAGTATCAGCAGACTTAAGCAGAGTGACTAACATGTGACTGGTCATCTTCATTTAAAGTTAGGAGAGGTTGTAACCTTAAGATATCACCTGACCTACCACTGGAGGACACTGTTGTCAATATCCTTACACAGCCACACCTCCCATGCTCAGACCAGATGTTACCTCAAGAGAATGACAAAGAACAAAGGCAGCTAGAACAAAAGGCAACTTAACAACTTTCTTAATCATGTGTTAAGTGAAACTGCACATACGAAAATACTAACTCATTCCAAAAAGTACCATATTAAAATAAGAAGATAGAAAATGAATGGTACGCTTATACACCAAAAGGGTTAACTCACTACTAATAGCTGGTAAGGCACTTGTTAAAAACTTAAGCTTCCACTCTCACAAACAAAGCCTGTCCTAAGGCTTTATCTCATGACATGGAATGACCAACAATTTGGCACTAGCCTTATGTAATAATCTAAGTTCTTGGATTTCCTGACCCTGGGATCAAACTCGTGACCTCTCACGTAGTCTAACTTAATTTTTTCTAACTTTCTTAACTTGTTGTATCCACATGTATTTTTAACACGTGACAGAAAAATCTAGAAGTATCTAGCCCTCTAATAGCAACAATATTACACCTAATGAGAAAAACTTGGAAGCTTCAAGTAAGATGGTATCAACAATATTACAACCATTAAACTGCATACACAATGCACGACTCGTACAGAGCTGCGTAATGAAACTTGTCATAACTTTTGCTAAAAAACAATCAACACTTTTCTTGAAAACAAAACAATCATTAAATACTATGTCACGAAATAAACTAAATAATAACTCTTATACCAAACAGTGTTGTATATCCCACATAATATTTAAATTATTGTCATAAGTGTATAATCTACAACTCCCTTTGTTATAAGTTTTCCTGTTATTTTTTTAGATATGAAATTGTCAAGATGTGATACACATTTATTGGTTAAATTAGTGCATTGTTTGAACACTGTTATATTGTGAATGGATATTGCACACTGTTGTGTACCATTTTTAAAAATGTTTTGCAGATTTAATTTGTTCATGAGGACTTACAGGCCTGATCAAAACAGTGAAGATTGGATATTGTGGGATATGGGTGCTACCTGTCTTGGCCATAAACCAATTTTTGTAAAGCTAGCATTTCAGAACCCTAGCTCCTTTGCTGCAAATTGGTAAGTTGAAACTGTGAATGTGTTACTGGAGAGTTTTCACACTAAATGTGAATAATTAGTATATTCAAGTTTTGACCTTAACTTTCGAAGGCACTGTCAAGTGGATGCTCATTATTTTTTCACACTAGCAAGATTTGGATTGTGACTAGTGGTGATATTATTCTTTTCTAAAATTAACTGTAACTGTATTATGATTTATTTCATCTATTAAATGTTAAAAAATATGTATATATCCTACTTATGTGTCATGTTTTTGAATATCAAAGCTCATTTTCATTAAATATAACTGTTTTTATTTTATCTATTTCACAAAAGTTAGATGTTCAGTTTGGGTAGAAACTGGGGTATCTCGGCCATGAGTACCTGACCACACCCTATATTAAAAAAAGTATTTTACTATTAAAAGTTAAGGTTTAGATGCCAAAGGTTAACAATGCATTAGAAGCCAATAGGCCTAACATTTGTGTTTACTAAACATGAACAAATCAACAGGAATATGGAAGAAACATCTGTAGTTTACATGATTTCTATTTTATCATTACCTCCAGTGGGCAACCACTTGAGCACAGTATTTCTTTAGCACATGGGCCAGCTGGATAATCTCACACCATCTCAACTATGCATTACAGGTTGGCAGTGTGATTTTGACTTGGTAGCCAATCAAACAAGTTGAAGCTGGAGTTTTGTTATCCCCATTTCCTGATAGTTAGCCTGGGTATGCCATGCAATTCAAGTATGGATCACAAAACTGGCATTATACCAGCAAGTGAAACAATTTTGTTAATCACAATTATAGTAACAATTACAATTTTGCAATATAAACAACTGAAAAGCATGTATTACGGGTATATTGATACTAGACAGAAAGAATCTCTGGATTGTTCTTCTGAATTGTTTACTAGCAATTGTTTTCCAATGACTTCTAAGTTTTACTAGCAAAACTAAAACACAAACTAGTGATTTACTAATTTGATAACATTAATTCTGACCTTTGACATTACTTATTTTTATTTAAAACTCTCAACTCTTTATAACTTAAATGATTTTACACTAATTTTGAATGATAAGTATATATTGCCCGTTTTGTCCTACTTTCAGTGTTCTTTTATAATTAGTAAACATGGTTCCATATTAATGGAAATCCATTTTAGATACAGCCTTGGATTAGATTTGCACGTTAGTATTGTGTTGAAAAAAAAAGGGGGGTTGAATTAAATAGTCATCAGTATGTATTTTATGTAAATAATAGCAGAGTAATGCATTTTGCTAATGCCACTAAGCCTTATTTCATGTTAGCTCTTCTTGAAAGATCCAGTATGTCAGTATCTTGTGTAAACTTACAAAAATAAAAAAATATTTTAAACAGATTTTTCAATTAAACTTGGTCCAGAAAATATCTCTTAGTTTATATTGATTTATCAAAATGTATGTTTTTCATTCTAACTACTTTATTTAAATACCCTTCTGTGTACTTTACTCATTAGATTAATAACATTCAATCAAATGTTTAGTACATTCTTGCAATTTTAGTTAATATTCCAAATGGGTAGAACACCTCAAGAATACAGGCAGTTTTTTTATATGATGAACCTAAGTACCAATAGTTTGAAAGTAAAATATAACTATTATTGACTATAAATCAACTTCAAATAAGTAAAAATAAAATGTCTGGTTACAATTGGAGAGGAATTTTGGCGAGTATTGAAAGCCACAGTTGCTTATTTAATGTTTGTTACCAGTGCTGACACCTATTAGTGCAATTATAAATTTGACTGATTATGTTATAAATAGTAGTATTTGAACATGTTTGTTAGAAAATTAAAGGACATGCTAATTTTATTGAACAAATTAATAGTTCATGTAAAGGAACTGTTCATGTGTGTGTGTACAGTTTCAAAAATGTAACAATATTCAATCATTTGCTCTAAAAATGATTTTTATAAATTGTATGAGAGACGTTATTTGAGGCACCATCAAATATTAATTATAATTTTTGCATATTTTATTATTTACTAAGTTTATGAAGTAAAACTTAAGGCTAGTTAATTCAAAGATATTTTTACAGGAAACTTATATTCCCCAAAGATGAGAGTATTGAACCTGAACAATGGACAGAGCCAGTGCTAAGTGTGAAGGAAGAGATGAGGGTTAGTTTCTCTTTTTATGTCTGTAAAAATCATATAAATAGTATTTTTAACGAAAGAAAGTGTTCTCTACAGAAGAGATTGTGTCAGTATGTCACTATTGATAAAATAGGATTTTATACTCTGGTCAATAATGAATTTCTATTAAATACATTGAAAAATTTCATACAAAATTGTTATATACACACCACTAGTTTTATTGTAATTTCTTAAAATTGAAAGTGTTCTTTAGAACAGTGTTTTTCAAACTGTGGTGTGCACCCCCAGGGGAGAATATATCCTGAGTGTCCTTGAGAAGATTCACAGCAGTAAGTAATCTTTGTGGTAACCATGTGACTGTATTAAAGGTATCCTACTGCAAAACTTCATGGGGAGCAAAGAGAGCTATGATCCAAAAAGTTTAAGAACCACTGCTTTAAGACATAGAAAAATTAACTTTCAATCAAATGTTAACTACTCAATTTTCTCAATCAACTAATGAAGTTCTGTTTAGGAAAATGTTTTAGTCAAACATATAAGTGTATTTTAGAATAAGTAATATTAAGTATTTTATCATGTTTTTCCCAACACACCTTAACTAAACTGATTTTGTTAATAGTGTAAGGTACTAGTTTCTTGTATGTTTGTTCTTCCTTCCTATAACATGTATAAAGTTTTATTTGTTTATTATTCCTCTTGCAGGTTAAATTATAGTTTTATGTTGCGTGTGTGCGTGTGATAGCTGTTTTATGAAATTGGTTTTAAAGTGAAGGAAAGTTATGTGGAGCTACCAAGTTATGAAAGTTTGTTGTAAGTTATTACAAGTAGATTAATAGCTATTCAAGTTTATGTTCGACTTCTGTGTTATATGCTCCTATACTTTGGTGCAAGTATTCTTCATGTATACATATTAACAAGGTAAATGTAAATGTAATTTAAACTTTCGTCAAGTTGACATTCTCTAAATCTGATTTTTTGTTTAGTTCTGTAATGTGATGGAATGTTATGTTTGATTGCAGACATTTTTCATTACATTCTGCATAATTATTATTATTTATAGATTTTAAACCATAACTATGTGTAATTAGCTTTTGAAATCTGTTACTACCACAAAATTTGATTATGATTAAAAATCAACGGAATATGGCAGTTTGCTATCATGCTTAGAATATTTGACAAAATTTATATCTAAAATGATAAAACTTTACGCTATTTTAAAATGTTTTTTGCTTTAAGTGTATGTAATAAGTATTACTAAGAAGTGTTATACAAAGCAAAGTTTAACCTATATGCAAGGAAACTCATGGATTAGAAACTTAGACTAATAAATTATGCAGTAAAAATTAACATTTTTTATCAAATTAAAAGTGTAATTTTCATAGTTTTAATTTTTTTAGTTTGCCTTGTAGCTAACAACCTTTCAGAGAAACTATGATACAAAATAATTGTTTCCCTTGTGGCATTTGGAGCTTTGAGAACATATTTTTAAATATATTATAGAATACACTTTCATTCATTGTTAGTTCTAGTATTTCAGTTACTGAACAAAACAGTGCTAGGATGTGTTCTGCTATGTTTAGTATCATTGTTAATATGTGGTTTAGATGACAAGATTATAAAGGATGGAATTCCATAACTATGCTAAAACAGTACATTAACAAATATATGAAAACCTTCTAGGATCAGTCTTGGTCCATCTAACAAGAAAAGTATAAGACATTGAAGACCTGTATGTTATCATGTGCCTTTAAAAGTCTTAATTTTGAAGCAAGTTATTTGGTGTAGCCCAACTAAGTATGAAAAAATTAAAGGTGGTACATAAACTAGCATACTGATAGTTTTGGTTTGAACATCTTTTCTCTGGGAAAACAAATTACAACGTAAATGTTTTTTATAATAAAATGATGCACCATGGTATGTTTATATTTCTAACGACTCAGTTATAGAATCCCTGCACCATCCCAATGACAGAAGCATTAGTTCCATTTGTTGATTAGGTTAAACATACCATGGTGCATCATTTTATTATAAAGAACATTTACGTTGTAAAGTGAGTCAACATCCATATTTCTAACCGACTCAGTTATAGAATCCCTGCACCATCCCAACCTCATCAAAAAATGGAACTAATGCTTCTGTCATTGGATGTTCACTCACTTTACAAAGTAAATGTTCTTTATAATAAAATGATGCACCATGGTATGTTTATATTTCTAACCGACTCAGTTACAGAATCCCTGCACCATCTCAACCTAATCAACAAATGGAACTAATGCTTCTGTCATTGGATGTTGACTCACTTTACAACGTAAATGTTCTTTATAATAAAATGATGCACCATGGTATGTTTATATTTCTAACCGACTCAGTTATAGAATCCCTGCACCATCCCAACCTAATCAACAAATGGAACTAATGCTTCTGTCATTGGATGTTGACTCACTTTACAAAGTAAATGTTCTTTATAATAAAATGATGCACCATGGTATGTTTCTATTTCTAAATGACTCAGTTATAGAATCTCTGCACCATCTCACCCTAATCAACAAATGGAACTAATGCTTCTGTCATTGGATGTTGACTCACTTTACAACGTAAATGTTCTTTATAATAAAATGATGCACCATGGTATGTTTATATATGAGCTTATAATGTGTTATTCTTTCTCTTCTTTCAATGCATTGTATATTAATACATGTGTAAATTAATTAATATGAGTAGGAGCATGAACTAAGATCAAGGCTGAGCTTATAATGTGTTACTCTTTCTCTTCTTTCAACGTATTGTATATTAATTCCTGTGTAAATTAATTAATATGAGTAGGAGCATGAACTAAGATCAAGGCTGAGCTTATAATGTGTTACTCTTTCTCTTCTTTCAACGTATTGTATATTAATTCCTGTGTAAATTAATTAATATGAGTAGGAGCATGAACTAAGATCAAGGCTGAGCTTATAATGTGTTATATTTATTTTATTATGTTGTTTATTTTTTTGTAGTTGCAAGCTTTGGAGAAAGTACTTTTTAACATCAAGCCACAGAGAGGAGTCCTGAAATCTGGAGAAATTAGTGTTTTGACTTTAGTCTTCAACCCCAAACAGTCTGGGAATATTATTTTTCCTCTCAGGTTGTCCATTGCAAATGGTCCATGTTTAAAGGTTTGTAAGAAGGTATCTTTTAATGTAAGAAGAAGGATAGTATTAGATTAAAACTGCACAAAGTACATTTCTGCTATAACTCAAGTTGGATAGGCTCATATGGTTCTCATGCATTAGGGAAACCAGGTAATGTCAATGAATTTTATGTTTTGCATTCCTGACCCAGGAAACATCAGGGAATTACATTTTACAAACAAAAATTAGGAAAAGTCTGTGAATTTCATATGATTCAGTGATGCTCTGAGAACACATGCTAAAAAACTAAATTATCCTTGGTTAATTCTAGTACATTTAGCACATAAATGTATGTGTATGTTATGCATAAATATTGTTTTATCTAAATTAATCTTTTTGCTTACTGTTAATTGTCACAGAGTGTGTAATAAATTAAGTTAACAGTAGCCTAAACAGTATGTAAAGGTTCTGGAAAAGGCTTTGTCTCATCTCCCTAAATCTAGGTCATGAAGGATTTTTTACTACAGCATAAATACCCTTAATTATTGAGTATTTAGAGAAAGACTATTTCTATTAAATACATTATTTTGATCTTATAAATTTTAATGCATTAATAAAACAGTCCTGATGTCAGGAATCATAAGAGGAATGTGTAATATTACATCATTGATATATTTGTGTAGGAAAATTGTGAAAGATGTCAAAATGAAAACAAACAGTTTGATTATTTTGGTAAAGCCTGGTAGTTCAGTGACAGAACAAATCCACACAGTTTTGATTCAGTTTTATTTCACATCTGTACTTATATTTATTCAATTAATTATCAAAACTAACTATAGTAATTATATAAAGAAATGGTTTATCAGTAATTTTTTGATTTAAATTCATTATAAAAAAAAATGTACGTAACTAAGTATTGCCTACAGCACACAACATCATGATGTATAGCTCAGCTTGGGCAAGAGTGATCAGTAGGCAATATCACCAAGAGACAGGTAGAATATCACCAATGACAGTTAAGGAAAACCTGTATAAGGCAGAATATAGATGGCAATGTATAATATCGATAATTTGCAAATAATAAACAATGAATTTTTGAAGAAAAAAAATCAAAATAAAGAATGTTTGATTCACAGTAGTTAATATTGTGTAACATACAGTATCTAAGAATGGGGTGTTATATGTTATTCATGAATTTTTGTACAAACAGTTTAACTTGCACTAGTGAATAACTAAATATGTCCTATATACCTTGTAATTTATAATTAATGCATTGCATATATGAGTAATATATTATGAAAATTTACTACTTGCAGAACTGTCAATGTTCACCCATTGAGAGTGAGACTCTGTGTGTATTCTTGCATTTGCAATTTTCTATATTGTATTGTGGTTGTTTGACTGGTTGAATCCAGGTCAAATTCAGCATTACATTGATCCAGGAAATACACTGTATTGCACCAATTTGCTTCATCGAATAAAAATTGTTTATGGGAGAACATGCCCATAGATCACCCCATAGAATTCAACACTTTCAGCATTCAGAGCACTGTACTATGCTTAAACATTTTACTTTTACAAAATTCTCACTCAAATACATTCCCAAAGTTGACAGTCTTGTGTTTGTCAAGCAATAAACAAGATGCTAGGGACAGGAATGAATAAAGATTGAATGTAAAGATGAGGATGTACAGCTTGACATAAAATCAATTAATAGTTTTGGTTTTCTTTCGAAACTATAGAAATTCAGACCACAGTATGGTCTTTGGATCAAGATATTAACTATTATGGAGATTGTATCATGCTAGTATATTCAAGTACGGGCAATGTGTTAGTGTTTTTCATTGTGTCTAAATCCAAGGGCCAGACCAGAATGTAAATAACATGAATCCTAATAGTAAGCATTTGGTAGCAGTTTTTATTTAATCTAATAAGCATTATTATGTAAGAGCAAAATGAAAAACTTGACATTATTATCCAATATCTCTGTCATTGACAAACATGTTTGTGTACATTAACATTTATGTCTGTGACAGATACTGTAGCCTTTACAAGTACAGTTGTATGTTGTGACAGTGTAAGAATAATGCAACTATAAATGTGGATATTTTATCAACAGGTCTGATTCCTTGTATAAAGTGTTCTGTATATATATAGTTAGTTATCTGTTAGTACAATCTGGTAATGTTGTGAATAAATATATGGTCATTAATCAAAAGATTTCGATACTTTTGATACAGATAAACTTGATGTGCACAATTTCAAAGTATGTGTGAAAATATTACAATGTGCTCTGGGTGGTTTCATTAATGTGTGCAATTGTTTTATAGATATTGGAAATATATGTTTACTGTAGTGTGTGGTTGACAACTGAAAGTTTTGTACACATTTGTGTATGTATGTACATCAGAAAATTCAGCTTAGTTCTTATTGAACATGTGAGAGCATACTTGTTAAAAAATATTCAATTTTAGAACACTAAACATGTTCCTTTCATGTATTACAAGTTGAAATGTAATAATCACGAATGTTAAAATCTATAGTGTTATGTATGCTATACGTGTAATGTCTCTGTGATTAAAGTTCAAAAGTGTGATCAATATGTAGTACAGTACACCACCGCACTTGAAATTCCCACGAGTGCCAGACTAGTTCACTGGATGGCCACAGATGGCATTGCCATATTGCACACTCTTTCGGGATGGGCTACTTACATTTTAAGTAGGTACGTCACTCTCGTGAAAACTTTCTTATAAATATTAAACTAGATAATTCACCTGATGAAAATGTTGACAATGACTTTACAGGATTTAGTGTATCAAAGGAGAAAGAAGTTGTTCAGGAGTTGCTTGAGTATGCAAAAAGTTTTACGGGACCTGCTGTCAAGGGTATAGCAAGTAAGCTTAATG